TCCTAATCCTAATCCTAATCCAAATCCTAATCCTAATCCTAATCCTAATCCTAATCCTAATCCTAATCCTAATCCTAATCCTAATCCTAATCCTAATCCTAATCCAAATCCTAATCCTAATCCTAATCCTAATCCTAATCCTAATCCTAATCCTAATCCTAATCCTAATCCTAATCCTAATCCTAATCCTGGGCACTGACTTGACTTCTAGGACTTTATCTTTATTCTCAACAGTCAGGCATATGCCGCTATTTCGTACAACCATTCTCACTTTTTTACTGCCTGACTTTATTCCACAACCAGCGACCATTGCCTCACGTGACGGGTTCTGTAGAACAAGTCTGACTCTAATACAGCGAGAACGTCGACTGATTGTGTAATAGAGAAACAGTAGTAGAAATAGGATTCATTGATTGACTGATTGATTGATTCATATGCCTGACAAGAGGTAGACTTTGGGGAGCTATTTACTCTTCTTCTTCTCTGTGGCCCACAGGAAGTGTGACGCAAGAACTATGACGAGGACGCAGTAACTATGACACATGATTACGTATGTTGACCAAGTAACGAGGACACCGTAACAATGGTACAACCATGATGAGGAGTAAAGGAGTGGTATCGTATCTATCAAAGGATGGTAAGTCTCTTCATGTTCACAGCAAGGCTAGTTGTAGCTCCTGATGAAGGTACTCAGTCCTAATACTAATATGGAATTATTTCTTTGAATAAGACCCCTCCTGCTTCTATAGTTATTTGACGTGAGTCCTATCATAAGCAGGTAGACCTTGGAATATCAAGAAACTCAGTGATGTAATTGCAAAGGTGAAGAGTCTTACTCTGACATAATTATTCTCGTTGATGATGAAATAAGTCCTAGTATTCTTGTTTCTTCCTTTATCACCTTGAAGAAGGAATATAGATATCTGGAAGAAGAGCTCCGAAATTTTTATGGTAAGTTCTTGAGGTTCTCCTTGAGGTACTCCTTGAGGTTCTCCTTGAGGCTCTCTCAGCCTTCTGCATCAGATTAAGCAGTAGTAGATCTTGAAGAAGAAGGTCGTATCTTTTCGCAAGATTTCGATGTTAACTACATGTGGGAAGAAAGTCTTTGAAAATAAGTAGTATGCTGGTCCTCTTGTTAAACACCGTCTAGTCCATCCATCATCATACGAATTGGAAGAACTTAAAACTGGGGCAAGAACGCGTGAGCCGAATACGTCTTACGTTAATTGGGCGTGGGCTTCGCGTACCCCTTTCGCGTGAGACGGACCATGTGCGCTGGCCGAGATTAGAAGCGAGATCAGTGCGTTGGCCGAGTAATTTACTCTCTTGGAATCTTCAGGTTCGCGATAGCAGCTTATCCTGCGATCGTGTGTACGCTGACCTCAAGATACTTCCGCCAACTGCGACCTACCGCTACAACTCTACTCCAAGTTCGAGACTGAGTGGCGCCGTTGTGTGGATCGTGCAGCTGCCACGGTACTTTCGTAGTTGCATCAATAATACTCAAATCTAGAGGACTGGAAGTCATTTTTTAAGGCTGGCACATGTAATGATCCTTGGTACTTTCGTTTTTTGAATTATCCTTTTCCTTCTTGTTGACACTGTTCAGTTCTTGTAGCTTCTTTATTGCTCAACATCTTTCTCCCAAACTTAGTAAGAACTTGAACTTGAACTTGAACTTGAACGGGGATACCCTGAACTTGAACTTGAACTTAAGAACAAATATTCTACTGCCCACTAGGGAGGTTCAAACTTGTTGAGGTGGACGAGGAGGATGGAAGTTTAACTGATGCTATTTAGGTATGTTGACATTTGGTTTGTGATTATTTCTCTCCTAGGTTTTTCTCGTTTCTGCAAGGAAGTTGCGACGATCGACGACGAAGATGGACGAGTCGATCGAGGACTCAGTCGCGCCCTTTTCGCGGTTTCCTCGACTCGCAACTACACTGGGAAGCGGACTTGCCACGACAAGGTCTAGAAGCCGCAGCCGAGGCGCAGCATTCAGAGGCCTGCTAGAAGATGAGGGCAAGAGAAGTTCCGCGGTATTTTCAAGCGCCTCTTCGTCCGCGGCTGGCAATCGAGCTACCGGCTCAAGCTCTTCGTCCCGCAGTGGCCTGCCGCCATCTAGAGCTGCCTTTACAAATGCGGCGACAAGTGCGCCACGATCCTCAAGCCTTTTTGTTACGGACCACAGATAAAAGGGGGGGAATTTGGTGTCGCTTCATACTAAGACTAACTCTCTAACAACTCTCAAGTTATTGTGCTATCGACATTTCTAACATTTGCGGATCCGCAACACCTGGAGGCGGGCTCGTAGCGCTTGGCGGTGGACTTACAACTGGGCAGAGAAGCCGTATCCAAGGTGGAACCTCCAGAGGCCTGCTAGAGAATGAGGGCGACAGAAATGCCGCGGCATTTTCCAGGGACGTGCTTCCACTTGGGGGCAACCCGTCGCAAATAAGTCCTAGGAGCCCTCAGCGGCTTCGTGCTGGCGCAGCACGAAACACCACCCAAAGGACAACAACATCAGGCAAGAGCGCAACCCCCTACCCCTTTGGTGTTGGAGCTGGTTCCAGTTCGTCGAGAGGCACACAGGCTTTCACCAGCTTAGCAGGCGACTTCGGTGAAGAATTAGATGGTTCTGAAGATGAAGACAGAGAGGCAGGCAAGCGCCTCCTCACGCCCATGCGCATTCAGTGGGGGTTTGGGGATCATCTCTCAGGCTTACAGCGAGGAGGATCTGGTCTAGCAGATGCGCAGGCACTGCCAGGCGGACCTGGTCCGAGTGGCTCTGGTACACCAGCAGCAGCAGCTGCAGGGGCATCGTCCTCACCGAGCTCCACAAGCAGGAGCAATGCCCGAACACTAAAGCAGCATGCCGAGGAAGCTGAAGCGAGACGCCTACGCCAAGAAGCAGTCCGCGACATCGTCGCCCCGCGGTATCTGAAAGACAACCCAATCGCGAAAGTAAGGCGTCAATAAATCCGCAGGCATCTCCTTGACCTTCCCAAGCATCTTGGCGACGTGCCGTTTGTTCTGAAAGGGATAGGGAACGAAAGAAGCGGGCATTGCCGAGATGCTTGTTGTGCGGCTGGGTTTATGGTAGTTCTAACAAGACAGATCTTCGCCCACCATGTGGAAAAATCGTGGGCCTATACGTTCCAGGACAATACCGGAGGACCAGGGAAAGAGTACGACCCAGAATGCCATAGGGGAATCAATCAGAGCAAAGCCATCCGCAGCGCGCTCCATGAGTATGAAGCACTGCAGAACCGCCTGCACAGCGTTAAGGCGCCGGAACCTTAGAGCATAGCAGGAGAGGGGCCCTTACTTTTAGACTAAAACATGACCATAGGAGCATCTGGAGACTCTTTCTACAGTAGGCACTCTTCTCGCAACTAGTACTAGCCCAACACCCGACGAAGCTGTGTAAACTACCTCTATTTGGGGCTTCCTTTTGATCTAAACTGTAGTAGCGTCATGCTCTTGGTGAGACTAGTCTGGCTTCTCCTGTTTCCATTCAGAGAAGGCAGCAGCACCCCTCTCGCCGTTGTAGATAAGGCAAAGGCCCAACACTTCTACCTATGACTCTAGTCCCACAGGGCGTGGGGGGTGTGTGTTTTGTTAGCGCTAACAGCCGCGAGGAGCTTTCGCCACCACCGGAAGGACAAGCCTGCGGGCCGTCTTCCATTGGGCCATATGAAGGACGAAAGGCGCAGGAGCTGACTTGGGCGGCTACCAAAGTTAAGGCTGGCTAACTATAGTACTTAGATGGCTGGGAGCTCTTCAGTGGCCTCGCGCGCCCTTCTAGTATGTTTTAGCTTGGACCAGAGCAGCCTCCTCCACCATAACTGAACTCTCTCTAGAAGGAAGGCAAGGCTCAGCGGTGACCTAAAAATCTAGCTGAGGCTAGTCATGGCCCCGGGCTAAGTAAGTGTGATGACCCATCACCAGAGCAGAGACCGCTCCCTCTAGAAGCTAGTCGAGGTTCACTGCTAAGGAGAGAAAATGGCTCCCCGAACGGCTTCCCCGCGTTCTAATAGAGAGGGACGAAAGACGCAGCGCGAGACCTTGGGTTACGGCAGGAATGTGCCTGGTGTGTATAGTCCTAGGATAGTGATGATAGGAAAGCTTTAATGTCATAAGGGAGCCCGCCTCCGTTATATATTTCTCAGCTACGAGCTTCGGACGCTCATTTACCACGGCAAGAGTAGAAGGATTTTGCTAATTTATTAGTGCTAGCTTTGCGCCTTCACCTCTATAGTCTTTAACTATCTGCTTTATAAGCTATCCAAACAGTCACGGTAAGAGCGCAACTAGGTAGCAGTATACTGATCGTACGTCAGTGCACGGCCAGGGCGCCTGTGTTCGATTAAGTACCTGTCTGCCCCTGAATTGTTTACCTAGAAGAAGTCAGTCTATCCTCCTTCATCTTGCGGCTACGAGCATCCGCGAGAATCTGGGGGATCCGCTCAGCGCAATCGAGTACGCAAGTTAAGGGCATTGACGTCAAGAGGCCAGGGGCCCAATCGGGAAGAAGTTACTCAGAAGACCGCTCCTTTTTGAATTTTGCTACCACTAGGCCCTTTTAGGTTTCTACCTACGAGCATGTGACTCATGTGACATCTAGAAGGAGCTAGCATTATTATGCAACTCGAGTAAGACAAAGACGCGGCCCGCAAGAGGGTCGCAAAAAAGGCTTTGCGGATTTCTCTAACTCAAGCCGGGCGGCATAAGCGGCGCGCACCCCGACCTACGACCTGTCTTTAAGGCTCAGTATGGTCGTAGTTAACTCACCCCCACAGAGCTGGCGGCGCGTGCCTGTTTCTCCTGTGCTTAGTCTGTCAGAGTAGTGCTCATTCCCTCAGCTAGATGGTGCCTTTTTGTATTTTCATAAGACGATGAGTACAATCTTCCATAACACGACCTGGACAGAGTGAAGACTATGGGCATGCTACTCCCTCCCCTAAAACTAAGAAGGTGCGACGGGTCCTCTGACTCTGTGTTTTGTGACTCTGATGATACATAGTGACGCTTTGCATTCTGTAGCCATGTCGCAGCGTCGACTCCTCTCGCCAGAGTGAGAATGTGCACTATGGTGGCATGACATGAGCACGAGCGCCTATGTACGGTGTACATTTTGGCGAGGCTTTTGGCTATCTAGTGCACCAGATACAGCGCAGAAGCTGTGGGGTTTGTTGCTGGATTTGAATAGTGACACCCGCCTGCCTCTAATGATGCCATCGAGGTGGTGAACACCTGCAGACTTGCCGATCTGCCAACGGGAGAAGGCCGCGCGATGGCGCTTGAGCAAGCCTGCAGAAAACACCACGCGGCACCACCTCCCCCGAGGTTCGACAGGGATGAAGATGAGAGGCGCTGGGGAAACCACTACAACCAGAAGCAGGGGCGGGAACGATCTAGGCAGCGCGAGGCGGGAGCCACCAGCGTCAGCGAAGCGCGGACGACCACAGGAGCCGCCCCCGGCGAAGACGCTGACAAGAGCGAAAGAGGTACGGCGGGAACGAGTGCACTCATCTGCTTAGGTGCTTGGCCAGCCGTAAGCCTCCCACTCCTAGCAAATTCCACTGGGGTCGATGAGTGCACTCGCCCCCTTCATAGAAGACAAGGAGGACGCGCAGGAGGCGCGGGAGAGTCTTCGAGACTGGGCGCGCGAGTGGCATTATGTCTTGGCCCCTGTTTTGAATAACTTCACTCAACTCTTAGGCGGTATTAATAGCCGCGTGACTTGTTCGGTTCCAAAGAGACTCGGCCGTCCTAATCTCGTCCATTATCTCACCGCGCATTCTTCCTCTTTGATAGGGAGGCGCCATGACATAACTTCAGCAACGCAAGACAGGGCGCACTGCTCTGGATGTGATTCTCTATCTTCAGCACCATTATTCTTCTTTCTTTCAGGCTCAGAGCTCTATCCTTGATGACCTTACTGGCCGTCCAAGCTCTAATGTTGTGATCGACTGGAGCAGACCCGCAAAGCAGACGGATGCCTGTCCGAGAATAAGTGGAGGACGCTTCTCGCGCTGGGAGGAAAAGGTCGGACTGTGAGGCGCTGCGCCGTTCACGCTGCCGAAGCAGTTTTCCGCGAAATTGCTGCAGATGTTTGCAGGCATTACGGAAGTGAGCTAAAGGACGTGAGTGAAGACAGACAAAGCCTAAGTAAAGTGAAGCAGAGGAAATTGAAGCGAAGTAAAGTAAAGTAAAGTAAAGTAAAGTAAAGTAGAGTAAAGTAGAGTAATGTAAAGTAAAGTAAAGTAAAGTAAAGTAAAGTAAAGTAAAGTA